CAGGGAGCTGCCTCCTCTGCATAAAAGCCACGTGATGCAGGTAACTGTGACTTACCATCATAGTCCTCCAAGATGTCAGCCCACTTGCGTTGTCTGTCCATGTTGTTGGGAAGGAGTAGTTTCTGTTTGATGTTGGAGGGCCTGGGGAGGTTGTAAAAACGCTCAGATTTAGCAACCTTTTGAAACACTCATCCTCTCAATTATTACATATTTGACCACTCGCTGTACCAATCAAATCACTTTCGTGCCGTTTGTTTTACAAGTCCACTCACTCGCTTGTTTGCCCACTCACGCGTGCGTCAGATCGCTCACTCATCCACCCACGCGAACATGTTTATTCCAACTGCCTATTGCATTAAACATAATCGCCAGACATAACCGTGATGTTTAACCTCTAATCCAGACAAGCATGTTGATGCACAGCCCATTTGTATTAATCTACTGCTTGATAAAGGCCCCCCTATGTCTTGTAGGTCATTGGGGTCAAATGACCATACTTAAATCATTTGTTATAACCCGAGAATGACGTCGTAGGTCACGTGATGTCAGAGGTACCGCCCATGTGGCTGTGACATCACAGATAGGAGACATCTATGGCAGCAGCTCGGGTCTGAACTAAAAGGTAGACTCCTCCCCCGTGTTGGATAACATTCAATACATGTAATGCAGGGCACAATTATGCAGGCAATCAGAACACAATAATTATAGACATGTTAATCATATTATATGAGATTTAAACAGGTTAGTTATGAACGTTTTAAATGTTAACTTGCTTTGGGTCTAAACAATGACAGTAACAGCAACATATCAGAGCATGCCAAGTAATCTAACTAATAGTCCTAATTTGGTTGCAGAAAATCCAAATAGCAACATACACAAAAATAATGAAGCTTTAGTTTGTAGTCAAAACGTGCAATAAAAATAAACAACACACATCGTCAACAGGGACGCTCACGATAATTGTTTTTTTACCCTTCTATCTGGCAACAAAACTGACACCTTTTTACAAGGAGTCATGTTTGCATAGACCGCAATACCTGCAGTCATAATACAAACAAAAGAACATAACTCTGATAATGTGCACTGTCCTTGAAGTTGATTGGTCCACACCCGAGACAGCTTTCCTTAGAGCCTAGTCTCACATGGGTTGGACCTGATGACGCCAAAAGGCGCACTGTAAAAAGGTGTCAGTTTTGTTGCCAGATAGAAGGGTAAAAAACAATTATCATATTTTTACTGGCAAATGAGGTTCCCATAGGGACGCTCACCTCGTTGAGGATTCGCTCTGCAAAGGCTTCTGTTGCTGCTGCTCACTCGTGCGCATTCCTCTCGACTGCGGGTGGAGGCGTGGCTATGACGTAACAGAGGTGACGTCACTACAGCGAGGCTCCGCCCCCACGCGCTTGGCGGGCGCACCACGTGGTGCAGTGCGGGTGGTGTGCGTCACCGGAAACAGCAGAGCCCTCGGTTCGACATTAAACATTTGCCCCCTCGCTTTGTGCTGTCTTTGATGTCGCCGTTACTGCGGCGAGGACTGAAGCCTGGCATATACCTAGGCCTCAGGCTTCATACTGTTTCGTAGTTATTTTTTGTTTAATAGGAATTATTAACTTGCATTTCATTAATTACATTTCAAGCGTATAAACACCATCCCATTGGTTTATTTACTTTTAAATTCAGGTTTTTTATTAAGAGTTTTTGGTCTGTAGTTATATTAAAGTGAGTGAGGTGGTTTTACTAAGTGTGAATTTGAGTTCCATGTAAATTATTATTGTGTAAAGGATTTGTCTGTGTGCACCTATCCTGGCAGTGGTAATATGGGCTTTTTATGATTAAGTTGTTAATGAGATTGTTTATTTGTGTGTGTCTGTTATCTATGTCTGTGTCAGGTTACATATCTATGTTTGTAGCTGTGTGTATTTGTTAATTTATGATGGGTGGTGATGATGCTGTTTCTTGATAATGGATGGTGGTGATGATGATGGGTGGTGATTATGAAGGGTGGTAATGATGATGGTTGGTGATGATAATGTGTAGTGATTATGATGGGTGGTAGTAATGATCATGGGTGGTGGTAATGATTGGTGAGGTTATGATGATGGGTGGTGATGATGATGGGTTGTGATTATGGGTGTTGATGATGATGGATGATTGGTGGTGGTTATGATGAATGTTGGTTGTGATGGTTGGGTGGTGGTGGTGACGATGGTTGGTGATGGTGAGTTGATAGTGATAATGATGATTGGTGATGATAATGGGTGTTGATGCTGATGATTATGGGTGGTAATGAGTAAATGAGCCACCACCCAATACATAACAGCAACAGAAGTAACTACAGCAGCAACAATAACAGCAGCAGCAACAACACATTTTGAGGGCGACGCAACTACTTCTGATTCTGCTGTTTCTGCTGCTCGACTATTTGTAGCCAGGCCCTGCTCTCGCGGGACCCCACAAATCTTTGGAAATGATTGCGATGATCATGTCTGAGCTGAGAATTAAGTGACTAAACGTTACTTTGTTTAACCATGACTGTGTGTAGGTTAGTATCTGGGGGCTCACCGAATACTATTCATGAAAGAACTCGCACTCCTTTATGACCGACATTGTACTAATTTTGGTTGATCGAGACGAACAAGGCACGTGCAGACGAACTTTTATTTCCAATATTGTCCTTAAATTTGATGCTAAAATAAACGTTAACACTGGATTAAACATGCACCTCTTAACCTCTGCCTCGCATTTACGACTAACAATTTGCATTTACACTTAACATACAGTCAAGCACAGTAAAATGCGAATACGACAATATTGTTATTCTAGGAATTTGAATTCGATTCTAACCCTGCACCCCACCCCAGTTTGCATATCCAACCCCCGGTTCGATGGAACGTTCGCTTTACATACATATGAGCAGAGTGCGATTATAATACTTCTAATGAGATTTGAATACCGTATCTCCGTTTATGGTGTAATGAATTAGAAAACCAGTTTATAGTCATTTAATGTTGAGTGATATCGTTTATAATGATACAGCTGAAGTCATAGAGGTGTAATGGCTGCAGTGTGTAACGAATGTAGATAGGGCGTCGCCGTTGGTTCGTCCACCCATCCCGCCTCAAGACTTATGTCCGTCTCCACCCAGACAGCTCATCCCCATGTCCTGTACAGCCCAAGTCTGGTGTGTCCGACGTGGTGGGGCTCTCGGCAACGGAAACCGTACTCCAAATGAAATGTGTTGTGCCGCCCACAGTTTCTGAGCCCCTGAGGCCCGGGGTGCCTCAAGGATCCGCCACGTGCGAGGAACCGGTGCCTGGAGCCTGGTCAAATTCTTCAAAAGAAGCCAGGGACCTGCCTAATCCTTCAAGGCTGCGGTGCGAACCCTTGACGCCCCGACATGCACAAGATTCTACCATGGGCGCGGGACGGGCGTCGAGAACCAGGTCAAAATGCGCAAGGTTGCGCTTGTAGGCTACACGCCCAATATCAATGCTGTATATTGTTATTCGGTGCCATTGCGATGGAACATTCTACCAGCAGTGGGCAGCTTGATTCTAATACGACCATGGTGCGATTTTAATAATTTTGATGCGATTCTAAATCTGGCACCACCCAGGCCGCATTAACGACTCCCGATGTGCATCTACATTTAACATACATTCTAGCTCAGTGTAATTCTAATACTACCATCGTGATATTCTAATCATTTTAATCCGATCATAATCCTGCACCCCCCGTTCGCATATCCGACCACCGGTTCGCATGTCCAAAGGCCATATATGCATATTACATTCGTACATACGAGCACAGTTCGCTTGCACGTACGCTATACATACATATGCGCAGAGTGTGATTTTAATACGATCACGTTGAAATTCTACTGCTTGTAATGAGATTATGATACCGTACCTCTGTTTTTGGTGTTATAAATGATGAAACTAGTTTATAGTATTTAATGCTTCGTGTTATCGTTTATAGTGTTACAGTTCACGTGTCTTAGCGTACAGGATTCCCTGTGTACTTGATGATTAGGGACCGTAACGTTGTGAATCGATAAATAATGGGGCCCTTTCCCTTCCAGGAACACATGTTAATGGGGAGACAGCCAAGATGCTGCCGGTTAAGGGCAGATGTGTGACGAAGATCCTCCACCTGAAACTCGCTTAAAACACGTTGTTGATATGAATACATAAACGGACACACATTTGTTTAAAAAAATCGTTTTTATTCATCTGCAATCATTTTAAGTCAAAACTCGAACCGAATGTATTATGTCCTATGTTCACACATTTCCAGTACCATGCAAACCATTTCCGTTCCAGGAATACCAACGCGTTAAAGTATCATTTCCCATTATTTCCTTATTAGTTCACCACATTTGTTCACTGTGCGTCTATGTTGAAGTCAAGGCCATATATCCAACGAACGCGTCATCAATGTACATCCTGAAATCAGCTATCTAAAATCGATTAATACCAATCAAAAAAAGCCATACACATGAAAAAAATCTTTAAAATGTTGAGTAAAGATGTATCTACAGACGCATTCCAACTTTAGCTCAACAGGAACACTTAACGACTACAATTGAACCCTCTCACAACCAGAGCTCATCACACCACTTCGGCAAGTAATCCGATAACATTACAAACCACCACTGGGCACGTCATTAAACTCTCAAAAAAACTGTAAAACTAAAATGGTCAAAATTACACACAAAAGTACTCGATACGGATTAAAAGGTATAACCACATGACGTAATATTTTTTTCAGTCACCCCGAGCTCTCTGGTTGACTCTCGAGCCACGCCATTACATCCAGCCATCTCTCGGGATCCAACTGCATGGGATCGAAGGTGGAAACTTCTTGAGGACTCATTGCAGCACCTTGAATTTCAGCTTTTGATTTCAGTTTCCATTCATTGTGGACCTTCTGATGCCTGTTAAGAGTTGACGACTGTGAAAATGCCTTCCCACACGCAGGGCACAGGAATGGTTTATCGCCCGTGTGTGTTCTCTGATGGTTTTGAAGAGTTGATGATTGTGCAAATGCCTTCCCACAAACATGGCACAGGAATGGCTTCTCGCCAGTGTGTGTTCTCTGATGACTCAGAAGATATGATGAGTGTGCAAATGTCTTCCCACACACAGAGCACAGGAATGGCTTCTGGCCCGTGTGTGTTTTCTTATGATCTTGAAGAGTTGATGAGTGTGCAAATGTCTTCCCACACACAGAGCACAGGAATGGCTTCTCGCCCGTGTGTGTTCTCTGGTGAGTTTGAAGAGTTGATGAGTGTGCAAATGTCTTCCCACACACAGGGCACAGGAATGGCTTCTCACCCGTGTGTGTTCTCTGGTGACTCTTAAGATATGATGGCCATGAAAATGACTTCCCACACACAGAGCAATTGAATGGCTTCTTGTCTCCGTGTGCGTGGGGCTGTGGAGAGCGTATCTGCTCCATGTGAGCGTAGCAACAGCAGCGGTGTTATCGAGTCAAAAGTACGCAATCGGCCGCAAGGATGTTTAGCGTTGAGTTTTGGATTTTGTTAACTGCTAAAACAAAAACGACACTCGCGTCTAACCGAGAGAAAAAACAAATCCCGCTAATTTGACGACGAACACGTTTAAGAATTTATCCGCGAAAATAGACACTTACTTGGAGATTCACGGTATATCGATGTCTGAAACCCGTCTGAAGATGTCGCCACGAACTCTCCCGACCCAAAGTCGCCTAACTGTCGACTCAGCAATTGTGCTCGCCAGGCTGCGTTGTCTCGCGGTTGAATGGCGATCAGCAGAGCGACGAGTCGAGCGTCCAACCTCATCAAGTTCCCTCTCGAAATGGCATTGAGCTCTGCTTCTGAGCCGCCTTATAACTCCCCCCCTAGGATCCAATCCTTTGTCTTTCAGGAGATTTGCATTCGATTGTTAATTTTGGAAGGTACAATCCGCATGTCTATTAACATACCGAAGAGTAATGTGCCCATTGTGCTTCATGCATGAATATGTAAGTGCATCTCAGTGTGTAATTGTGCGCTTATTTTGAATAAATGGAAAAACTTTGTCCTCGATTTAAAGTGAATGCAGAGAAATTAGCATGTAACTTTAGAAAAGGAAGAGAGCGGCCTTCTCGACGAGGGAATGAAACCCAATAGGTAATCTTCTTTTACAGCGTTACAATGGATAGGTTGTAGTTCATAGGTTATAATATTATGTTTCACTATGATAGAGCTTAACATGTGAGAGTCTACAATATCAGAGTTGATCAAATGCGACAATAAAGGGCGTCAATCGGGTGAGTTTGATCAGAGGCTTTAATCAAAGGCGTCATCCCATCACGGAACACCACCTCCCTGCGTTTATTACAGCAACAGAAGCAACTACAGCAGAAACAACAGCAGCGACAACAACAGCAGCAACATCACATTTCGAGGGCGACGCAGCTACTTCCGATTCTGCTGCCCAGCTGTTTGGAGTCAGGACCTGCTCTCGCAGGACCCCACACGTCTTTGGAAATAATTGCGATGATCATGTCTGAGCTGAGAATTAAGTCACTCAAGATTACTTTGTTTAACCATAACTTTAGGCAGGTTAGTGTTATCGGGGCTCTGTGAATACTACTCATGAATGAAATCACACTCCTGTATGACTGACATTGTACTAATTTTGGTTGATCGAGAACAAGGCACGTTCCATGTCCAGACGAATTCTTATCAACAACAGTGTCCTTAAATATGATGCTAAAATAAATGTTAACACTGGATTAAACGTGCACCTCTTAACCCCTCCCTCGCATTTACGACTGACGATTTGCATTTGCACATAACATACATTCAAGCACAGTGAAATGCTAATACGACAATATTGTTATTCTAAAATTTGAATGCGATTTTTGCCCTGTACCCCCCACAGTTCACGTATCCGACCCCCGGTTCGATTTAACAGATAATTTACATACATATGTGTAGAGTGCGATTGTAATACTTCTAATGAGATTTAAATACCGTACCTCCGTTAATGGTGCTATAAATTATAAAACCAGTTAATACTTTTTGGTCGTTTAATGTTTAGTGTTATTGTTTATAGTGTTATCAGTTTACATGTTTTAAGTACAGGTGATTCCCGGTATACTTCGGTATTCTGGACCTGAACGTTGCGAAACGATTCATAACGAGGACCTTTCCCCACCAGAGCGCAATACGCTAATGAAAAGAACTCGGGGCGGCGGGAACACGTGCTTCCATGGGCAGTGGGGGACAGGGCATGGTTGTATTGCCCACAGGTGCCACCGGGAAAATCCCCCAAGTTGCTCCGCCCATGGCGGGGTCAGGTAGAGGTCATAGAGGTGGGTGATGTAAAGACAGTGCGTCAACTAAGGGACAAGAGGTGAGGAACGAGGTTAGGGGCTGTGTTGGCTGGTTGCTGTCTCGTCGTCGTCGTTGCTATATCGTGACGCCTGGGGTCTGAAACCGCGTTAAATGCTAAATAAAAGAACCCTCTGCAGTCTGAGTCCGGAGTCATTACAATTGTAACGATTCATTATTTCACGGGCTAATATTGGTTTGTGCGATTATTTTACATACTCATACTGAATATTGCTATTTGATGCCATTGAGATGGAACATTCATCCAGCAGTGGACAGCTTGATCCTAATACTACCAAAGTGTTATTCGAATAATTGTAATCCCATCTTGATCCTGAACCTTCCATTTCACATATTCCACCCTTGGTTGGCACGTCCATATTACATACATACATTTTACATGCATACATGTTACATACATACATTTTACATGCATACATATTACATACAGACATGTTACATACTCACGAGCATAGTGTGATTCCTATAGGATCACGGTGTGAAGCTAAGAATTCGAATGAGATTCGAATATCACACTTCAATGTACGGTGTTCTATTCTGTAACACTAGCTTATGATGCTATTTTATAGCGTTATAATGTATCGCTCATAGCTTATATTTTTAGAGTTCACATCATTATAGTTTACTATAACACTAGTTTGTAGTGTTATTTTAGAACGTTACAATGTATAGCTCATAGTTTAACGGTTATATTGTTAGAGTTTATAATGTTAGAGTATACAATGTGAGTTTACAATTTGAGAGTTTGTGGACGTGCCCTGTTCTCGTGGGACCCGACACGGATTTGGAAATAATTGCGATGATCATGTCTGAGCTGAGAATTAAGTCACTCAAGATTACTTTGTTTAACCATAACTTTAGGTAGGTTAGTGTCATCGGGTCTCTGTGACTACTACTCATGAATGAAATCACACTCCTGTATGACCGACATTGTACTAATTTTGGTTGATCGAGTAGAACAAGGCACGTGCCATGTCCAGACGAATTCTTATCAACATCAGTGTCCTTAAATATGATGCTAAAATAAATGTTAACACTGGATTAAACGTGCACCTCTTAACCCCTCCCTCGCATTTACGACTAACGATTTGCATTTGCACGTAACATGCATTAAAGCGCATTAAAATGTTAATACGACCATATTGTTATTCTAAAATTTGAATGCTATTCTTGCCCTGTACCCCCCCCCCCCCCACAGTTCACATATCCGACCCCCGGTTCTATTGAACAGATAATTTACATACATATCTGTATGTCCCCCAAGTTGCTCCGCCCATTGGCGGCGTCAGGTAGAGGTCATAGAGGTGGGTGATGTAAAGACAGTGCGTCAACTAAGGGACAAGTGGTGACAACAAGATAGAGAGAGTTCGAGAAGGGAAGGCGAGACCAAGTGTGGGCGGAGGTTCACGCCGAGAATGAGAGAGGGGGAGGAACGAGGTTTGGGGCTGTGTTGGCTGGTTGCTGTCTCGTCGTCGTCGTTGCTATATCGTGACGCCTGGGGTCTGAAACCGCGTTAAAGGCTAAATAAAAGAACCCTCTGCAGTCTGAGTCCGGAGTCATTACAATTGTAACGATTCATTATTTCACGGGCTAATATTGCGTTTATGCGATTATTTTACATACTCATACTGAATATTGCTATTTGATGCCATTGAGATGGAACATTCATCCAATAGTAGACAGCTTGATCCTAATACTACCAAAGTGTTATTCAAATAATTTTAATCCCATCCTGATCCTGCACCTTCCGTTTCACATATCCCACCATTGGTTCGCACGTCCATATTACATACATACATTTTACATGCATACATACTACATACAGATATATATCATGCATACATATTACATAGACACGAGCATAGTGTGATTCTTAGAGAACCACGGTGTGAAGCTAAGAATTCGAATGAGATTCGAATATTACACTTCAATGTACGGTGTTCTAATCTTTACCACTATTATATTATGTTATTTTATAGCGTTGTAATGTATCGCTCATAGCTTATATTGTTAGAGTTCACAACATTATAGTTTACTATAACACTAGTTTGTAGTGTTATTTTAAAGCGTTACAATGTATAGCTAATAGTTTAAAGGTTATGTTGTTAGAGTGTATAATGTGAGTTTACAATTTGAGAGTTTGTGGACGTGCCCTGTTCTCGTGGGACCCGACACGGATTTGGAAATAATTGCTATGATCATGTCTGAGCTGGGATGAGCGACTAATGTTTATTTTGTTTAATCATAACTGTGTGTAGGTTAGTGCTATCGGGGCTTAGTGAATACTACTCATGAATTAACTCATTCTTCTTTCGGATAGAAATTTGAAATCGTGTTGGTAGAACAAGTCGCCTGCCTTTTCTAGACGAATTGTTATCTTCAAGTGCGCCCGTAAATAAACTGCTAAAATACACAGCATAGGGAAGGCTACCTTGTTGGGGAGATGTAGTTTGGCAAAGTCGCTGTGGCCGGGTGATGACACGGATTCTGAAACAATGGAGTTAAACACTCGCTGCTTGGCCCCGTCGACAGCAGCGAAGGCTGTCATATACCTTCCCATTTACGAGTTGGCTGTATGATGTGTATAGTTGAAGGTGCTAGGTGTTGTCTTTTTCTAACAGCTACTAACGTGCGTGTGTTGTCTGTTTTTAGGACTTGCCCATTGATGTTGTTTTTTTATTGCGGCGTTTTTTTTGTTTAGTTCTGTCACTTGAGTGTTGCAGTTTGTTTAAGAATTCGTCACGTGAGCGTGGTGTTTTGCTTGTGGGAATTTCGCTTTGTCACAATTTGTGATTGTTATATTAATTATAACGATTCATAATCTCATGAGTTTATGATGGGGTTGTGCGTGTATTTATATAAATATATTCCGTCTTTTGTTATTCGATGACATCTAGCAGTGAAAATCGTGATAGTAATATGACCATATTACTATCACGATTTTCACGAATATGACCATTGTAATTGTAATATTTTTTATCCGATCCTTGCACGTACACTATACAAACATATTAGCGATTCTTATACGACCACACTGTGATTCTAATTATTCTAATGATATTATAATACCTTACCTCCGTGTATATGGTTATAAATTAAAACACTATCGTTTATAGTATTACAGTTTACATGTTATAGAGTACAGTTTATCCCCGACATACTTCGGGATTAGGGACTGTTACGTTGATGAACGATTAACTACGGGGACCTTTCCCCTCAAGGAACACGTGTTAATCGTGTAGACAGCCAAGATGCTGCCTGTTAAGGGCACACTTGTGTGACGGAGATCATCCACCTGAAATTCTCTGAACATGTTTTTGCTAGGAACATTATAAAATAAAGAACTGACAACATTTGTTAAAAATAAGTTTTTAATCATTTTTACATCAAAACTCGAAGGGAATATTTATTACGTCCTATGTTCACACATTTCCAGTACAATGCAAACCATTTCCGTTCCAAGAATACCAACGCGTTAAAGTATCATTCCCCATGATTCCCTTATTAGTTCACAACATTTGTTCACTGTGCGTCTATATTCGTTTACAGCGTTACAATGGATAGGTTGTAGTTCATAGGTTATATTGTTAGAGTTCACAAATTTAGAGTTTACTAACAATACTAGTTTACAGTAATTTTTAGATTATTCAAATGTATATGTGAATGTTTTTAAGTTACCATTGTTGAAGTTCATAATGTTAAAGTTCACCGTGTGAGAATTTACAATGTGAGAGTATATCCAAGACGTCGATCGATGGCGTTGGTCTGGTAGGTTCGATCATAGTTTTTGATCAAAGGCGTTATCCCATCACGGGACACCATCAAGCTGCCGATATAACAGTAACAGAAGCAACTACAGCAGCTACGAAACCGTTCGATGGCAAAGCAGCGACTTCTGCTTCTGCTCCAACTGCTGCCCGAATGTTTGTGGCCGGCCCTGCTCTCGTGGGACCCCACACGTTCATGGAAATAATAGAGATGATCCTGAGCTGAGATTTAAGCGACTTAAGTTGACTTTGTTTAAACATAACTTAGTGTAGGTTAGTGCCAACAGTGTTTAGCGAATACTACCGAAGAATTAGCTCACACTCATTTATGACATAATTTGTCATAATTTTGGTTGATTAAGGAGAACAAGACACAGGCCATGTCGACGAATTCTTATCACGTACATGTACTTAACTATATAGCTAAAATAACGTCAACACTCGAATAAACTTGCAGGTCTTAGCCCTCTCATATCGTTGCTTCGCAGATGCTCGAGATTGAGCGTCCTGCTGTGGTCCGAATTGTTTACTGCGATAACATTTGAAACAAGATGCTGCCGGTTAAGGGCACACTTGTGCGACGGAGATCTTCCACCTGAAATTCTCTTAACATGTTTTTGCTATGAACATTGTAAAATAAATAAGGGACAAACATTTGTTAAAAATACGTTTTTATTCATCTTGCAATCATTTTTACGTTAAAACGCGAACCTAATGTTTAATATGTCCTACACCAACATGCTGCGTATATAACAGTGCTCTCGTGGGACCCCACACGTCTATGGAAATAATTGAGAGGATCCTATCTGAGCTGAGATTTGAGCGTTATCGTTTATAGTATTACAGTTTACATGTTATAGAGTACAGTTTATCCCCGACATACTTCGGGATTAGGGACTGGTACGTTGATGAACGATTAACTACGGGGACCTTTCCCCTCAAGGAACACGTGTTTAATCGGGTAGACAGCCAAGATGCTGCCGGTTAAGGGCACACTTGTGTGACGGAGATCCTCCACCTGACATTATCTGAACATGTTTTTGCTAGGGACATTATTAAATAAAGACCGTACAAACATTTGTTCAAAATACATTTTTATTCATCTGCAATCATTTTTACGTCAAAACTCGAAGGGAATATGTATTATGTTCTATGTTCACACATTTCCAGTACAATGCAAACCATTTCCGTTCTAGGAATACCAAAGCGTTAAAATATAATTCCCCATGATTTCCTTATTATTTCACCACATCAATGTACATCCTGAAATCGGCTATCTAAAGTCGATTAATACCAATAAAAAAGCTATGTACTTGAAAAAACCGTGTAAAATGTTGAGTAAAGATGTACCTACAGGCGCATTCCAAATTTAGCTCAACAGGAACACCTAACGACTACAATTAAACCCTCTCACATCCAGTGCTCTTCACACCACTTCGGCAAGTAATCTGATAACATTACAAACCACCACTGTGCACGTAATTAAACTCACAAAAACTGTTAAACTAAAATGGTAAAAAATTACGCACAAAAGTACTCGATATGGCGAGGTGTAACCACATGCAATATTATGTTTCAGTCACCCCGAGCTCTCTGGTTGACTCTCGAGCCACTCCATTACATCCAGCCATCTCTCGGGATCCAACTGCATGGGATCGAAGGTGGAAACATCTTCAGGACTAATTGCAGCACCTTGAATTTCAGCTTTTGATTTCAGTGTCCTATCATTGTGGACCTTCTGATGCCTGTTCATGGTTGATGAGTGTGCAAATGCCTTCCCACACACAGAGCACAGGAATGGCTTCACCCCCGTGTGTGTTCTTTGATGAGTTTGAAGAGTTGATGACTGTGCAAATGCCTTCCCACACACAGGGCACAGGAATGGCTTCTCGCCCGTGTGTGTTTTCTGATGGTCTTGAAGAGTTGACGAGTGTGCAAATGTCTTCCCACACACAGGGCACCGGAATGGCTTCTCGCCCGTGTGTGTTTTCCGATTACTCTGAAGAGTTGATGACTGGGCAAATGCCTTCCCACACACAGGGCACAGGAATGGCTTCTCGCCCGTGTGTGTTCTCTGATGACTCTGAAGATGTGATGACTGTGCAAATTTCTTCCCACACACAGGACACAGGAATGGCTTCTCGCCCGTGTGTGTTTTCTGATGGTCTTGAAGATGTGATGACTTTGCAAAAGTCTTACCACACACAGGGCACAGGAATGGCTTCTCTCCCGTGTGTGATTTCTGATGGTCTTGAAGAGTTGACGAGTGTGCAAATGCCTTCCCACACACATGGCACAGGAATGGCTTGTCGCCAGTGTGCGTTCTCTGATGACTCTGAAGATGTGATGAAAGTGCAAATGTCTTCCCACACACAGGGCACAGGAATGGCTTCTCTCCCGTGTGTGTTCTCTGGTGTCTATGAAGATGTGATGGCCATGAAAAGGACTTCCCACACACAGAACAATTGAATGGCTTCTTGTCTCCGTGTGCGTGGGGCTGTGGAGAGCGTCTCTGCTCCATGTGAGCGTAGTAACAGCAGCGGTGTTATCGAGTCGAAAGTACGCTATCGGCCGCAAGGATGTTTAGCGTTGAGTTTTGGATTTTGTTAACTGCTAAAACAAGAACGACACTCGCGTCTAACCGAGACGCAAAAAAATCCCGCTAATTTGACGACGAACACGTTTAAGAGTTTATCCGCGAAAATAGACACTTACTTGTAGATTCACGGTATATCGATGTCTGGAACCCGTCTGAAAATGTCGCCACGAACTCTCCCGACGCAAAGTCGCCTAACTGTCGACACAGCAATTGTGCTCGCCAGGCTGCGTTGTCTCGCGGTTGAAGGGCGATCAGCAGAGCGACGAGTCGAGCGTCCAACCTCATCAAGTTCCCTCTCGAAATGGCATTGAACTCTGCTTCTGAGCCGCCTTATAACTCCCCCCTTAGGATCCAATCCTTTGTCTTTCAGGATATTTGCATTCGATTGTTAATTTTGGAAGGTACAATCCACATGTCTATTAACATAACGAAGGGTAATGTGCCCATTGTACTTCATGCGTGAATATGTAAGTGCATCTCAGTGTGTAATTGCGTGCTTATTTTGAATAAATGGGATTAACGCTGGAAAAACACGTTCCCCATGCCCTCCATTGTCCTCGATTTAAAGTGAATGCAGCCCCGTGACGTTCCCAAAAACCGCCAAGCTTCGGGAGTGAGCACGTACAGATGCGTAGTGACCACACTTGCAACACAATCACTATAACATCAGTAACCAAAATACGATCTGGTACGTGGTCTCCGCTTGGTCTGGTTGTATCCGTCATCACCAACAGCGAGGCATGGTGTGGCCAGCCACCACCTCGTTTGCTGCAACGACTTTAATAGCTGCTCTAAAACAACACTATCACCAATAGTGGTTTATGGGCTAGGCTGTTAAGCGGACAATCAGTCTTTTTGGGCAAGGCGTATGGGAAAATACACACCTCTGTTATCCCATAAACACAATACACAGCATCGGTAAGGCTGCCTTGTTGGGGAGATGTAGTTTGGGTAAGGTGCTGTCACTGGAGTTAGGCGATGTGACTGGGTTATCACACGGATTCGTAAAAGCAGCTTAGACGATACGATCCACTGCGCTCCATCTCCCCACATGGACAACGACATTCTAGTTTCAAAAAAAATGACATTGATACGACACATTCAGTGGACAGTGTGATTCTAATACGACTAGCGGGATTCGAATAATTGTAATTCGATTCTAATCCTGCACATCCTAGAATGTATGTTATATGTAGATGCACATCGGGAGTCGTAAATGCGGCCTGGGTGGTGCCAGATTTAGAATCGCATCAAAATCATTAAAATCGCACCATGGTCGTATTAGAATCAAGCTGCCCACTGCTGGTAGAATGTTACATCGCAATGGCACCGAATAGCACTATCCAGTATTGATATTTTGCGTGGAACCTACAAGCGCAACCTTGCGCATTTTGACCTGGTTCTCGACGCCCGTCCCGCGCCCATGGTAGAATCTTGTGCATTTCGGGGCGTCAAGGGTTCGCACCGCAGCCTTGAAGGATTAGGCAGGTCCCTGGCTTCTTTTGAAGAATATGACCAGGCTCCAGGCACCGGTTCCTCGCACGTGGCGGATCCTTGAGGCACCCCGGGCCTCAAGCTATACATTATAACGCTATACAATAACATTATTAACTAGTGTTATAGATTAGAACAACCTACATTGAAGTGTGATATTCTAATCGCATTCGAATTATTCGAATCACTCCGTAATCCTCTTCGAATCACAGTCGTAAGTATGTAACATGTATGTATGTAATATGTCTGTTTGAAGTATATGTGCATGTAACATATATATATGCAACATGTATGTATGTAATATTGGGTTTGTGCGATTATTTTATATATACATACTGAATATTGCTATTTGATGCCATTGAGATTAACATTCATCCAGCAGTGGACAGCTTGATCTTAATACCACCAAAGTGTTATACGAATAATTGTAATCCCATCCTGATCCTGCACGTTCCGTTTCACATATCCCACCATTGGTTCGCACGTCCATATTACATACATGCATACATGTTACATGCATACATGTTACATCCATACATGTTACATGCAAACATGTAACATGCATAAATGTTACATGCATACACACTACATACAGACATACAACATACAGACATGTTACATGCATATATACTTACTACGTACAGACATGTTACATGCACATATACTTACTACAAACAGACATATAAAATGCACATATACTTACTACATACAGACATGTTACATGCATATATACTACATACAGACATGTTACATGCATGACTGTTACATAATTACGACCGTAGTGTGATTCGAAGAGGACCACGGAGTGATTCGAATAATTTGAATGCGATTCGAATATCACACTTCAATGTAGGTTGTTCTAATCGAATTACAATTATTCGAATCCCACTATAGTCGTATTAGAATCACACTGTCCACTGTTGGATGAATGTGTGGTAAAGAGTATAACAATCACACATTATAACATATATAAAGAGTATAACAATCACACATTATAACATATATACAATACACATGATTTCAAAAACGTATATAAACATTTCTATTCATTTTTTAAAACTGAGAATGTCGTTGTCCATGTGTGGAGACGGAGCTCGGTGGAATGTATCGTCTCCGCTGTGTTTCGGAATCCGTGTGATCACCCAGTCACATCGCCTAATTCACAGCGCCTTACCCTTTAAAATAACACTACAAACTAGTGTTATAGTAAACTAAAATGTTGTGAACTCTAGCAATATAAGCTATGAGCGATACATTATAACGCTATAAAATAACATCATAAACTATTGTTACAGTTTAGAACACCGTACATTGAAGTGTGATATTCGAATCTCATTCGAATTCTTAGCTTCACACCGTGGTCCTGTCTTTGCCGCTGGCCCCCGAGGTCTCTCCCTGCTGGGCGCCGACTGCAGGGGGGGGGTCCCGCCGTTCCCCGACCCCTCGCTGGTCTGCGAACAGCTGCTGCCGCCGCTGGGCTCATCGCTCGCGGGGTAAGGACTGTGGCCCGACGGTTCACTTCCCTGGTTCGCACCTCCGCGAGTTCGCGAGAGGGACATGGCTCGTCGCCGGCTCCCGTACGCCTGTAAACGCATCGTTGCCTCTCCGCCAATCAAATGCGACGCCTCCCCTCACACAGCCCCGCGCAGCGATCACACGCTCTGAACGGGGGTCGGAGGGCGAATGACTTTGAACGCACACGCGCGACCGCCGCGAGCGGGTGATCACGTTCGTTTAAAGGGACCGCGGAACGGGTGTTTACGGTGGGTGTGAGCCCTCACAGCGCACAAGTCTCCACGGCGACAGGCGGAGCGGGCACCCGTGTTCTCTAACACACGTAAACTGTAACACTTTAAAGATAACATGAAACATGAAACGACTATAAAGTAGGTTTTTTATGTAATTTATAAAACCGTAAACGGAGTGACAGTATTTGAAAATCTATACTCTTTGGTGCTTTCGGTAAAGTCACGTAGGTATAAATAAAACAAAATAAATAGCGACGTTTCGGACGCAACACAAGCGCCCGAAACGATGTCTGCAGCAGACATCGTGCTGCTCGCAGCAGACATCGCGGATATCGCGATTCTCACCTGAAGACGGGCGCTTGTGTTTCGTCCGAAACGTGATTTACCTTGTTTCATTTCTACCTACGTGACTTTACCGAAAGAACCAACGAGTATTAATTCCTGCAGTCACGAAAGCTTCAAATCAATATTATAATATAATTAGAAGTATTATAATCGCAATGTGATCGTAATAGAATCACACTGCACATATGTATGCATATTACATACGTACATACTATGGTCGTATGTATGTAATATGTATGTCCGTTGGGCAGAAGATCCACAATGATAGGAAACTGAAATCAAAAGCTGAAATTCAAGGTGCTGTAATGAGTCCTGAAGAAGTTTCCACCTTCGATCCCATGGAGTTGGATCCCGAGAGATGGCTGGATGTAATGGAGTGGCTCGAGGATCAAACCGAGAGCTCGGGGTGAATGAAAAAAATATTATGTCATGTGGTTATACCTTTTAAGCCGTATCGAGTACTTTTGTGTGTAATTTTGACCATTTTAGTTTTACAGTTTTTTTGAGAGTTTAATTACGTGCACAGTGGTGGTTTCTAATGTTATCGGATTACTTGTCGAAGTGGTGTGATGAGCACTGGCTGTGAGAGGGTTGAATTGTAGTCGTTTGGTGTTCCTGTTGAGCTAAAGTTGGAATGCGTCTGTAGGTACATCTTTACTCAACATTTTAAACGTTTTAGTTTTCAAGTATATAGCTTTTTTTGATTGGACTTTAGATAGCCGATTCCAGGATGTACATAGATGATGCGTTCGTTGGATATATGGCCTTGACTTCAACATAGACGCACAGTGTATATTGTACTGGAAATGTGTGAACATAGGACATAATAAATATTGCCTTCGAGTTTTGACGTAAAAATTATTGCAGATGAATAAAAAAACGTATTTTCAACAAATGTTTGTCCGTTCTTTATTTATAATGTTCCCAGCAAAACATTATTAATAGATTTTCAGGTGGAGGATCTCCGTCACACAAGTGTGCCCTTAACCGACAGCATCTTGGCTGTCTACACGATTAACACGTGTTCCTTGAGGGGAAAGATCCCCGTAGTTAATCGTTCATCAACGTAACAGTCCCTAATCCCGAAGTATGTCGGGGATAAACTGTACTTTATAACATGTGAACTGTAATACTATAAACCATAACACTAAACATTAAACGATTATAAACTAGTGTTTTAAATTCTAACCATATAAACGGAGGTATCATTAGAAGTGTAATGGGTTCCGGAGACACTTGTAGAGGTAACTTGTTTATTACAACCCAACACTCTCCAACAGTCCAACACTCCTGATACTCTGTTACAGCCTAGGTACACAGCCTAGGTACACAGCCTAGATACTCTACTCTGGCTACGCTCTGGAACTCGCCCTCACATGGTCGTAGAGTCGGGAGTTCCAGAGTCCCAGCGCTGGCTCTCACAGCATCCCAGGGTCTTCAGATGGCTGGTCGTGGGTCTTGGGTCTTGAGTTACAACTGGGCCCTGATCGTCCAGGGAGCTCTCCTTTTATGCCTGGTCCAACGAGGGGTGGGGCCGTGTGCGCCACCAGACATCCCACAGAGCACACACAGCCCCCCCCCCCCCCCCCCCGTTGGCGGCGCCAAAAAGGCTTAAGCGCCTGGGAACCCAACGCCTGGCGCCCAGAGGCTTAAGCGTCTGACTCGCCTGGGATCCCAGAGCCCCCAGCAGCCCCTCCCTTCTTATGTCACTACAACAGCAACAGAAGCAACTACAGCAGCAACAACAGCAGCAACAACAGCAGAAACATCACATTTCGAGGGCGACGCAGCTACTTCCGATTCTGCTGCCCAGCTGTTTGTTGTCGAGACCTGCTCTCGCAGGACCCCACACGTCTTTGGAAATGATTGCGATGATCATGTCTGAGCTGAGAATTAAGTCGCTCAAGATTACTTTGTTTAACCATAACTTTAGGTAGGTTAGTGTCATCGGGGCTCTGTGAATACTACTCATGAATGAAATCACACTCCTGTATGACCGACATTGTACTAATTTTGGTTGATCGAGTAGAACAAGGCACGTGCCATGTCCAGACCAATTATTATCAACAACAGTGTCCTTAAATATGATGCTAAAATAAATGTTAACAGTGGATTAAACGTGCACCTCATAACCCCTCCCTCGCATTTACGACTAACGATTTGCATTTGCACATAACATACATTCAAACACAGTAAATGCTAATACGACCATATTGTTATTCTGAAATTTGAATGCAAGTCTTGCCCTGTACCCCCCCACCCCACGGTTCACATATCCGACCCCCGATTGAACAGATAATTTACATACACATCTGTATGTCCCCCAAGTTGCTCCGCCCATGGTGGGGTCAGGTAGAGGTCATAGAGGTGGGTGATGTAAAGACAGTGCATCAACTAAGGGACAAGTGGTGACAACAGGATAGAGAGAGTTCGAGAAGGGAAGGCGAGACCAAGTGTGGGCGGAGGTTCACGCCGAGA